TATTGTTCTCAGTAAGGAAATTTTGTGGACGACTTGTCAGTGACAGAAAGTGTATAGCCTGTGTGAGAAACACTGAAATCGTAGCATTGATAATGGTAATATTAGCCGTTATCTTATAAGGAAATATTTAGCATTCATTGACGGAGAAAGCAGTAAAGCTATTGATAGAAATTTCTTAAAATAATTTTCTCAGTTTTAGTAGCTGTTGTTCATCTTTTCAGAATAAATGGGGGTTTTCCTGCTTAACTCATTATTTTAAGTAGCGGCAATTCCAGACCCATGTAAGTAGCTCCTTCCATGGTGGGGATGTCTATAAAAATAGCTCCGTTCCGTCTTAGAAGGGGAAATAGCTCCGTTACGTCTTAGAAGGGGAAAAATAGCTCCGTTCCGTCTTAGAAGGGGAAATAGCTCCGTTACGTCTTAGAAGGGGAAAAATAGCTCCGTTCCGTCTTAGAAGGGGAAATAGCTTCGGTTCGTCTTAGAAGGGGTAATATCCTCGGTCCGGTCCGTCTTAGAAGCGGAAATATCCTCGGTCCGGACCGTCTTAGAAGCAGAAATATCCTCGGTCCGGTCCGTCTTAGAAGCGGAAATATCCTCCATCCGTCTTAGAAGCGGAAATAGCTTCGGTTCGTCTTAGAAGCGGAAATATCCTTGTTCCGTCTTAGAAGCGGAAATATCCTTGTTCCGTCTTAGAAGCGGAAATACCTTCGTTCCGTCTTAGAAGCGGAAATAGCTTCGTTCTTAAACTGGCTAAAGTTTGTCAAAAGTATGAGTGTACCAGAATTGTTGATGGCTTCCATTGACAGACCGTTGTGGAGATTCAATGTGGCTTCTGCATTCGGACACCTCAACGATTAAAACGTCAAGGGCATTATTATTATTATTATTATTATTATTAAATAGAGAAAAGTGGAGGAAAATATACCTAATTTTCTAAAATGTTACGGTTCTTAAATTTAATATTTCGAAACATATATTCACCCCCATTTTGCACTGTTTATGAATTTCGAAGTTCTTATCCTGGACGAAAGAAAGATTTTTTTTCAGTCACCTAACTGTAATGTTAACATTTCTACACCTTTGTATTTGTGTGCTCGCGTGTGTAGCTTAAGATCATATCAGTTTGCTTCTTTTTAATCATGGCCTCTTATTTTGAATTACTTCCAATTAATTAATTAATCCATTGCCATCAAAGGCTCGCTTTTTAATTACTCATCACGTCCGAGGCTCAAAGAGAATCGTCACGACAGCCGTAATCAGAAAAATCTGAATATTAACAGCTACACTGAACAAATATTTTCAATAATAAACCCAGTAGTGTACTTAATGGCATCAATCGTAAATTGCGGACACATTCTACGGTGATAAAAACTTTTGCAAGCCAGACCATCGACCAAATCCTTTTCCATAATATTTCGACAAGACGACAAAAGTAAGAGCAATACTATTTAAAAATTATGAATGAAAACTGGGGAAAAATTCATAGACGTCAAGTGGATGCCTGAAACTTTGGAAACTAGTGAATAGTATATATTTGCATTATTTTTTTTTTTGTTTGCGTGTGTGTGTGTGTGTGTGTTTGTTCGTCTTATTTGGTTTTCGTACGTCCGCACGTTGGGAGTGCTTCTAACGACTGAGAAAAAACTCTCCATATCCCAAACCCCATTAGCTAATATTAGCTAAGAATTTCGGGCGGATAGACGGAGAAGAATTTCGAAAGGTCGGAAGGATGGACGGAGAAGAATTTCAAACGGTCGGAAAGATGGACGAGCAAGAATTTCAAACGGTTGGAAAGATGGACGGGCAAGAATTTCAAACGGTTGGAAAGATGGACGGGCAAGAATTTCAAACGGTTGGAAGGATGGACGGTCCAAAATTTCAAACGGTTGGAAGGATGGACGGCCAAGAATTTCAAACGGTTGGAAGGATGGACAGCCAAGAATTTCAAACGGCTGGAAAGATGGACGGCCAAGAATTTCAAACTGTTGGAAAGATGGACGGCCAAGAATATCAAGCGGTCGGAGAGATGGACGGCCAAGAATTTCAAACGGTTGGAAAGATGGACGGCCAAGAATATCAAGCGGTCGGAAAGATGGATGGCCAAGAATTTCAAACGGTTGGAAGGATGGACGGCCAAGAATTTCAAACGGTCGGAAGGATGGACGGCCAAGAATTTCAAACGGTCGGAAAGATGGACGGCCAAGAATTTCAAACGGTCGGAAGGATGGACGGCCAAGAATTTCAAACGGTTGGAAGGATGGACGGCCAAGAATTTCATACTGTCGGAAGGATGGACGGCCAAGAATATCAAGCGGTCGGAAAGATGGACGGCCAAGAATTTCAAACGGTTGTAAGGATGGACGGCCAAGAATATCAAGCGGTCGGAAAGATGGACGGCCAAGAATATCAAGCGGTCGGAAGGAAGGACGGCCAAGAATTTCAAACGGTTGGAAGGATGGACGGCCAAGAATTTCAAACGGTCGGAAAGATGGACGGCCAAGAATTTCAAGCGGTCGGAAAGATGGACGGCCAAGAATTTCAAACGGTTGGAAAGATGGACGGCCAAGAATATCAAGCGGTCGGAAAGATGGACGGCCAAGAATTTCAAACGGTCGGAAAGATGGACGGCCAAGAATATCAAGCGGTCGGAAAGATGGACGGCCAAGAATTTCAAACGGTCGGAAAGATGGACGGCCAAGAATTACAAGCGGTCGGAAGGATGGACGGCCAAGAATTTCAAGCGGTCGGAAAGATGGACGGCCAAGAATTTCAAACGGTTGGAAGGATGGACGGCCAAGAATATCAAGCGGTCGGAAAGATGGACGAGCAAGAATTTTAAACTGTCGGAAGGATGGACGGCCAAGAATTTCACACTGTCGGAAGGATGTACGGTCAAGAATTTCAAACTGTCGGAAAGATGGACGGCTAAGAATTTTGAACGGACTGACGGTCAAGAATTTCGAACGGACGGACGGATGGACAGGCCAGAATGTCGAACGGGCGGACAAAAGGTCACCGGAAGTGGAAAGAATTTCGTCGAGGAGTAAAACGATTTAGAGAGCGAGAGATGGAAAAACAAATAAAGAAAAAAAAGTTTAGGGTGATAGAGAGACAGAAGAAGGTATGCAGAGAAATTGACAGAGCAATATAGTGAATAGCTTCCTGAGAGAAAGAGGGAGAGAGGGAGGCAGTTAGAGAGAGAGGCATGACCAACCAATCAGGACGAAAATGGACGTAATACGTTATATCACGGATATTGAGTTTTGAGTTAAAGGCGGACATTATACAGAGGCGAATTAGAAAGGAGCATGACTGAAACGAGGACAATACACAGAAGGAAAGAGAGGTTCTTCATGTGCCATGACGTAAGCTTCGTGACTCTCCACACATTCGTCTCCTTCGTAGCACTTAATAAATTTTGTCTTTTTGTTATTAGTCTCAAACCCTGTCCCTCCATCCATTTAGTGAAGCTCACTAAACATTTTATGCGTTGCGTTTCTCTGTCCATCGTGCCTTCAATTTGTCCGGTGAGCATAACATTTTCCAAGGCCTCTTCCCTCATAATATAATGAGAAATTTCAGCTGTCTCTACATGGTGTTACGTATAAGTTTCTTTTTTGTTACCGTTTTCTCTAGAATTCACCTTTGCTCACATATCCAGTCCATAGAACTCAGTAGAACTATCTGTATCAGCATCCTTCTGTAGAACTACATTTCTGTTGCTTAAAGTCTCTTCTTCATCTTTGAGGAGATTATCCAGTATTCACTGGCATATAGATGCATAGATATAGCATAACATTACAGTACTCATTTGTTTGTTTTTAACAAAGTTTCCTGTTTCATATTACTCTGCTTAGCTTTTTAAGTGCATTTTTATCTATTCCAATTCGCCTTCAGATTTTAATATGGCTATTTCTGTTCCCTGTTAAATATCTTCCCAAATATTTAATTTTTTTACTTGTTAGAGTTTGGTATCTCCAATTTGTAATTTGCATTTTTTGCTTATCCTTTCGCCAACTACCATGCATTATGTCTTCTTGCAGTTGATGTTTAAGCCTTTCTTCTCGCTTTCCTTCAGGAATGGCTTTAGGATTTCTTGAAGTTTTGTTTTGGCATCAAGACTGTTTCATCTACATATCTTATGTTGTTGAGGTTGTGTCCGCCAATAAGGAAACCTGGTAGGACTTCTGTTTCTCTCGGAATCGCCTGGCTATGTAGGTTGAATAAGTGCTACGAAAAGACACATCCTTGTCTTAGATTCCATTCTTGTCTATTTGCCGAACTCATTTTCTATGTGTGTGCAGGTGGTTTGCAGGCCAGTATATGTTTTGTAATTATTTTAATATACTTCCCAAATATATCATAGTTGCTGAACAGTTCCCACAGATCATTGTGGTGTTGTTTATCGAACGCCTTTTCGTAATCTATAATTACGTATCCTTCTGCATTTGTATTGATTTTTTCTGATAATATTATGAGCATAAATATCGCGTTCTTTCTTCCAGTGTCTTTGATGAAACCGCAGAGTTCTTGTCCTATTTCCGGTTTGATTCTGCTACGCTTTTTTTCTCATCAGAATTCGGATGTTGTTTTGTTGTGTGGCTCATTAAGCTGATTGTCTCATGTAGTCCGCATTCGTTTGCATCCAGTTTCGTAGGTAGTTTTAGGTCTTCAGGAATATCACCACTGTTGTAGGTTTAATTTAGTATTAGGTTGGTGCAAAAATAATGACGTATTAATGTCGTTTTTTGACGTTAAAAATACATCAAAAAACGACATTATTTCGTCATTATTTTTGAACCAACCTAATATCTATTTAATTTTGACGACAATGAAGCCATCTAAGGCTGCCAGCATCTCCATTACGATTACGTCTGATCCTGCCACTTTGTTTCTGTTTAATTTGACCAGTGCAGCTTCTACTTTAGATTTTAATATTTCTGGTCTGTCGATACTTCTGTGTATCGCCGGTTGTTCTCTTTCGTCATTGAAGAGAGAAGTTAACAAAAGAGAAAGAGCGTGCATAGTGTGCAGAGAGAGAGAGAGAGAGAGAGAGAGAGAGAGAGATCAAAAGAGAGAATAAACTGTGCACGGGCAAGGTGCAAGAAAAGAGCAATGGATGTCAGGGAAAACAAACAAATCAGTAACACCACAAAAACTGGGAAAGGGGGAAACAAAAAACACGCAAAAAAAAGCAATTTTAGTTATTTTTGTCTGAAGGACAACGTTTACTTTCCTAATTAGAAAAACAAAAAGTTACATTTTTCGACAAAACGGAATTCACTCACATGGCCGTAAAAAATAAAATGTTTCAGAAACATGTTTTACATTTTATTTTTTTTTTGTAAATATTAATATTAACATTCAAGCAATGTTTCAGCAAAAAGTCGTTTTTTTTACATTTAAAATGCCCGAAGATAATTTTGCCGCAAAGCAAAAAAAACAAAACAATATATATATATATATATATATGAAGATCTGGCATCGTTTGCCAAGAATATTACCTTCAAGTATTTTGACACTTCTAAAATTAATTTCCTTTAACATTTGCAGTATAGACAAAATTCTTGACAACCCTGCGAAAATAGACTTTTACATATATGCATTTTTTTGCTTTTACAAAATAGTAATTTTATGAGTCAGAAAAAATGGTTCTGCGGCTAAATTCATCGATACATTCGCCTAACATTCCAGGCCTTCTCTTGTTATTGGCATTTTGTTGTATTTTACAGCCTGGGAATTTCGACCTGACTAAGAGTTTTAACCAGTTTGCGTCTGCACTACTGCGTTCGATCTTCATTAGATGCTTTAAATTTGTAGCCTAATGTTCAATTAAGTTTTCAATTCAGCGGAGTAGAAATGATCAATTCTTAAGTTCGTCTTATAGAGAGTAATTCCACTGCACATCGGTAAAGACTTTGTTAACACGTAGGATCGATAAGAGCCGCTGAAAAATTTTGCAATTGATTATGAATCTAACGGTGACATCTTCAGATCTGTTTCGACTTGAATGATAATATTAACCGTTTACCTACAAGAAAATATTTGCCATTTACTGACCGAGCAGCCAGTGATGCTTTCAGTTGAAATTTATAAAATCTTTCTCTTAAAATACTTTAGAAAAACAAGTTTATCAACTCCAGTAGATGTTATAGCTCTTTCCACTATTGATGGTAGTTTCATTCCTAAAATTCTATTTGATGTGGAGTGGTACTTTATAAGAATGTTATTTCCTATTTTAGTTATATGTTCTGTCCATTTTATTTGTTACTACAGTTGGTAGTAACTCAAGTGGCGTTGTTCTCCTTATTTCGTAAAGTTCTGTGTGATTCTCTAGCGCCAGTCCTCAAAGTTCAACGAAGAATGATCTTTGCCTAGACTCTCAGGCTTCACTCGCCCAAAGCCTTTTTTTACCATTGATCTTAGAAAGCGGTTGTATAGAGCTGACACTTTGCATATTTCTGAACGGGTTTGGCGCCATGCGTACCGTCCGTATGAAAGTTTTGATCTGACGAGGCTATTTATGATCATGACACGAGTTTTTAGGTTGATATTTTGGTTTCATAGCAGGTAGCATGCAATTTAATGTCATTTCTCATCAACAGCATGTCTGATGATTTCCGAACACGCCCATCTCCAGTGCATTTGTCTTTCTTCAACACCCAGAGTCAGCCTGTGGTTCATATTGCAACGATTCTGAGCAGATCTGATAGTTCAGGTATATGCATTGATAGAGTTACATACAGTTTTGAATTAACAGCAGTTCTACTAGACTGTTTGTCAACCGCTGCTAGAAAGATAAGGATGTCTTGTATATTTATCCCATATTTGGAGGTGGCGAGCTCAGATGGATTCAAAAATTTGCCAGTGTATTTATGCGAAAAATGACCGGAATTCAAACTCATTCCGTGCACCTGAATATTACACAAATACATATTTGTCTGTACAGTTCACCAATGTTTTCCACGAAATGCCTTCCTGATAAAAGGATAGCTGGAAAAAAATCTATAAAGTCAATGCCATGTCTTATCAGAGGCGAGACAAATAGCGATAAATATATCTTATTAGATAGCGTTCTGAGCAATTATTAAAAATTAGAAACATTTTTTTTTGTATTTTTCCCGCCACCCATAGGCACCCTGTGGTATTTCTTGGGCAAAATAGCTTGGCGGAGCCCAACCCTCTCCAGACTGGTTTTGAATTCAGAGTTTCCCTTCTAGATGGCAAGAGAAGAAAACGATTCATATTGAATAGATCCGACTGGAATCCCAAGGGTATAATTAGCACGTCGAATGTAATGGACCCGACTGGAATTCGAACTCGGCTCTCCGATTCCTCAATCCGAGCCGCTATCCATGCCTCCATGTAGTTTGTAGTTATCTTAGGTTAAATCAATACAATGCAATGGACGTAGTTTGCTCCTGGGAAGCGCTCTGGCATGTGATTTACAATGGCGAGATCAGCGATATGTTATGATGTTGAAGCACTCGAGAGCATTAAAATCATTGATGACACACCTCAGCACAACTTTACGATGTATATCGAGATATCGTTCCAATCCTAGATTAAGACATTCATCTCCATGTATAAATTTTATCCACGTGATACCAGATTTTATAGACGCAAATCCGGAAATGAAGTTGATCGGAGCCTCGCTCTTTTCTCTAAACCAGATGTAACGGCTCAAAGGGGAACAAACTGCTTGTAAGTTTGAAAACCTCTGTCACACAGTTGTGTAAATTTTCATTATTAACGCGTAGAGCCGGACTTTTCCCGGTCAAAATTGCACTCGCAATGAAGATCCCTTTTCTGAAAGTATTTTGGATACAGAAATACATAGGTTTGCCTATCATCCAGTTCACAGTCCATCCGGTGTTTTGAACAGGAACTGAGGTTTACCCATGGTCGCCTCTTTAGGATAGGATTTTCGGTTCCTTCTAAAGATTAATTCAACTATCCTTTTAACGTCTCCACCTAAATTTTGAAATGTGATTTATCTTGATTGTATTTTTTCTCACAAGGAATAGATAGGTTCGCCTATCGTCTGATTCACATTCCCCTATGGTCTTTTCAAAAGGGGGAACGATTTATTCTTTGTATCCTGTTTAGAACTGGTCAACCTTATTTCTTCTCATTTTTTTCACACCCAGTAAAAATGTAGCCTTTCTTAAAGGAATTATCCTCTCGCTTGGTGGAGCTCGGCGGTATGATCCATTGCTAAATATGTCGGAAAAATGATCGACTCATTTTATCGTTCCAGGAAGCGCACGATTCCTTCTGCCATAATTTATCTTTACAAAAGCCAGATTAGACGAAAAAACAGGATATTGCTGGATTGGATCTTCCCGATCCTCAATTTCCAGTTGTGTAAGGGCTCAAGATCTTTTATGGAATCTTGTGTAGGAAATTTATTCTCTCTCTGACGCCTATTAACGCAACGAAGCAAGCTTATCTCCACTTTATAGGTTATTTCCATGGCAAATATCCAGATGAGCTCCATTCTTTAGTTCAACCAGCTTAGACATTTACTTTTAGAACAAGCCATGTATTTCTACAGCATCAAATCACTCCATATTTCAAATATAAGTGAAAAGTTTAACTCCGAGAGATTTTTCCCTAAGAACTGCTACTTTGTAGAACGGGATCTTGTGTAGGTGATTCCCCGATTACTACAATCTTAAAATTCAAGTCAAAGGTCAGTCGTTATCTGTCATTACCTTCTTCATTTTCATTATCAAACACTTTTCTTCAATTATATATCACCTCATTCATTATAGTTATATCGGTAATCCTCTAACTTATGTGGCTTTCGAGCCTTGTACTGGGGGGAGACTTTAGTAAGCATCAATATCGAATCGACTTGAATCACTATGCGATTCATTGCTAAAGTATGAAATCTATAGGCCAAAATATAAAAATAAAAGATTGCGAGATATCTCGTCATCGTTAGAGTATTCTTAACTTTTCATTACGATTTCATAAGCAGTTTTCTAATGATGTTTGCAATGCGTATGGACTTTTAAAGCCAAACAAACGAAAAATAAAATCACTTATCATTGAGTTTTTCCAAAAATATGCAAAAGAGGTGGGCATAGTTTATTTTCGCAAGTGGTGTCGGGAGCGTGATAAAAAAAAAACAAACAAAAATCCAACAAACAAAAAAACAAAAGAAAGGAATGGTTAAAAAATTAGAAAATTGAGTACTAACGCATGATCTAAGAGGCAGCTTAGTGCTAAGTCCTGATCTTTATCATACTAAACCAAAACTTTTATTTAAAACCTCGAGTCATCTTAAATAGACACGCTAGAACGAGACTTTCATATAGATGTCATGATTGGTGCCAGACACGTTCAGAAATATATAAACTGTCAGCTGTATACGACGGCTTTCTAAGATCAACGAGTAAAATGGCTTTGAGCCAGTGATTCCCGTGGGTTTTGGCGAGGGTCATCCTTCTTTGACCCTACATATTCACAAAGATCTGTACCAAATAATCACAGCCAAATTTCGCATGCAACTTGACGAGAAAATTAAATAATCAAGATGTTGACATTCCACACTACATCAAATAAAAGGTTAGCAAGGAAACCATAATCAATAAAGTTAACAACTGCTTGACAGGAGAAACTTAATTTCCTAAAAAACCGTTTGAAGAAAAAGATTTAATTTTCAATCGGCAACAGGACAAACTGTTCGGTCAATGAATGTTAATTGTTTCCACAAGGAAACGGCTAATGACCTATTACCATTTTATAGTTATAAATTTAAGAGGAAATTCAATGAGGAAATTATCGACGCTGACTTGGTATTTCGACCTCTGTCACTTTCTCACCGAAGTGGAGTGGCTTCCCTCTGTCTTTTCCAAAAATATTTTCATGGCAATCGCTTTGACGAGCTTTTCTCCCTGGTGCCTGACTAAATAATTTAAGCGTGCTAATAGATATGAATTTATACCCCTTCCGTTTACTGTTGAAATAGCTAAATATGACCGCCACTTCTACTAAAATAGTATCTTTTCTCGCATTTACCACCTGTGGAACTTCCGTTTACTTGTTTCCCTGATAAATACAGTGTTCAAAAATTTAAATGCAACGTCAATCGCTATCTTGTATATCCTTGAATCCCGTTCATCTTTTTCCCGCCTCTACCCAGTCTTT